CTACCACTGTTCTCTCTTTCTGCCGCCAGCGATTCTGCCATCGGCCCGTGCCATATTCTCCTTTCTCTTTTTTTCGCCACCCCCTACTGCTTCACCCCGCTTACCTCCTCTCTCTATTCCGTAGGCCCCACGGTGGCGCTCCATTTTTTCCGAGTGGCCTTTCTACTTCCGCACCCTCACACCTCGCACTCGACCTACCTCCCCCTCCTCCGTCTCGCTTTTTCGTTTGCACCTCGGCATGATCGCCCACACCCCCTCACACACCCCTTCCTCTCCACCGCCCGCCGCTCTCGGTGTAAACCCCCACGGCAAGCGCAAGCGAGCCCCCCGCCAAGCCCACCAAGCCTCGGCTCGGACGGCCTTTTGGGGGGCTCACGGAACCCCATTAGGGGCGAATTATGGAAACCCACATGCCTCGCCTCGCCTCGCCACGCCGCCGCGCCCGCCGCCCCCTCGTCCACACCTCCGTGCACCTTTACTATCGCGGATTTGTCTGAGCGGGCCGGGCGGGGCACTTGCACCGACTGATGATGATCAGCGCCCTGAAGCGCCGCGGCGCTGCGGGCCCACGGGGCAGCGGCCCCGGGATGGGATGGCACTGATGGCGCGCTGCTGAATGGAGGGCGGAGGGCGCGCCCCGGGCCGGGGCTCCAGCCGGGGCGGGGGGAAAGCGATATTGGGAACAGAGCGGCCAGGGCAGAGCCATGTCAAAAGATTTGACTCCCGCGCGCGCTTCGGGTTGCGTCGCCGCCGCGCCGCCCCTCCCCCTCCCCCAGTGCGACGGCCTGCCTGGCCTGCCTGGCCTGCCTGGCCTGCCTAGCCTGCCTGTGCAATCTCCTGAGAGCACCCGAGCGCCCGCCGGCACCGCGTTGGAGGCGGCAGGCTCAGCGGCAAAAGGCAAAGGGGCGGGACAACGACCCGGAACACAACACCCTGTGCGAGACCCGCTCCACCCCATCGCGCCTCCCTCAACCCACCCCGCCCCTGCTCGCCCCACCCCACCGCCCGCCGCCGCGCCGCGCTCCGATGGCCGTCGGGTGTACACACATGGAGTGGCCCTGGCCCCTGTCGTCGCGGTCCTCCGCGGTCCTCGGCAGTGGCGGGCTGCGGCGGCCCGGCGCGATGGTGGAGGCGTGCGTCACTGGCTCAAGTAGGCTAAGCCCTCTGTAAGGGCCTGCCCATTATTGGCTGAGCGATAGCAAATCCTATTACTCCAGTGCAGTGATGTTCAGAAAGATTCACGTCTGTGTTTCTATCTATCTGTTTGTATGTTGGTTTGTTTGTTTGTTTGTCTGTAATCCCGATAACTCGACAACGGATTGAGCTAGGCAGTTCAAATTTTCAGGGTAACTTTGTGTCATAAAAAGCGAGAACTGAGCCCTCTAGCTCAAAAATTGGCTGAAAACGGGCAATTTAACAATCATTCGGACAATATTGCGCACTTTTGCAATATCTGTTATGGTTTCCTGAGGGGTAACTCGTTAAGTTGGGATTCGAAGGACCAAAACTTCATTATCCGTTTGGCTCTATCTCTAACCATTTGGGCTGTAGAGGGAGTTTCCCACACGAAAATGCTAAACTAATACATGTCTTTCCTCAGATATTTGATAGTCTCCGTTCTGTTGGGGAAAGTGGTCAAAATAAAAGCCAGTCGACCAAAATTTGTGCTTTGTGAGACTGAAGGTCTCTTTAGGCCAGGTGCGTAGCAGCGTGACAGTGCTTCCTGAGATATCGCGAAGCCTGTCACGCGGACGTGGGCTGGAGTCGAGGCTGGAGTACATCCACCTGGTATCACCCTAGCACGGACTTACTTGTGTCAACTGTCGTTGCCTGCCGAAAAAGATTCGGAAAAAAAAAATAAGAACAATGCAGTTAAATGAAGTGTTCAACTGGCATGTATATGCAAGTGCTCAACACTTTGATGCACACTTTTAAGTGTTGGACTGGACATTTTAACACTGTTAAGTGTTCAACACTAAACACTTAGAGGTGTTAAACATGAGGTTTGGCCATGACCCTTTGAACACTTTGGACACAAATTTACTGTTGAACACTTTAAAGTATTCAAATATCCAGTCAAATACTTTAAAGTGTGTAACATAGTGTTGAACACCTTGTATGTGCACATGTTCACGCCGGTTGAATGCTTTATTTGTCCGTGAAGTGGAGGTTTTCAGTCAAGACCATCACTGGCTCAAAGTGACGATAACAAATAGATGTCAAGAGAAACTACAGAAAAGCTTGTTCATGAGTTTCTTCTGAAACATTGGGACCGCAGTTTGGAAGCAACCTAAGCGCCTACGAAGTAAGACCAAAAAGGTACAATTGGTGCGTCTACAACTACCAACACACCTAACTTTGTAGTGGCGCAAGAACAGTGGGTCAGAATATGATCGTGGTTCGCCTCACTGCTTATTTCTACCACAATGCCATCTCTCGGTCTGCGAAGACAGAACTCCAGAAGCGTTGGCTCGATCGCTTCGGGTATCGCCCGACCAGAGCTCGACGGGTCTCCTTCATTTTGGCTCTGTGCGGTACCACGTTGCCATGCGCCGTCTTTCCACTCGTCTGCGATGAACTGTAATGCGTTCTCTGTCTCTCTGCAGAGACATGTCTCTATTCCTCTCCATCTCTCTCTCCTCTCACGTCTCACGTCCGCCCGTCTTTCCCTCCGTCTGTCCTCCGACCAGGAAGGCGCGCTCGCTGCAGGCGCCGGGCTTGTGTTGTTGGCCACAATGCGGGAGCCCTCGCCACACGTGTATAATGCACGACGCCCCAATGAAAAACGCGGGTAAATAATGTAAGCATCAGACGGGCGTGGTGGTCCGGCGGAGGGGGGGGGGGGGCACGGGGGCTCACCGGGGACTGGAGGGATGTGTGGTGCAGGCCGCCGGGCCCGGGCGGGGGCAGGCACTACCCACTAGACCAGCTGGAGCACGTACGGCGTGGCTTGGCTAACATGAACAACAACTTGCACTGTGGTTTACACCGCCCTCCCCCTCTCCCATTCGGCGGACATGAATGTTTGTTCTTCGTGCATTTGGATCCTTTCTAACGACCGGTTTCAGTGAGCACTAGCATTGAAATTTGTATAAAGTAGAATCAAATATGGCAGGAAAACGATTCAATGAAATAAGAATGAAATGATATTTATATTCTGGATGATTATTGATTTAGAGTTTACTGCATATTATTTGTAGAGATGGTTACAGTATTTACAGCAGTTGAGAACCAAGTGAGAACAATGTAAATCTCTTAAACACACACTCAGACAGACACAAACCACATACACACACACGCACGCATTCACACGCATTAAGTGATAGAAATATGAAATGACCACATATGTGGTGACTTCGAATGAGCAGAAATAACGAAATTTCCCATAGAAATTTATCAACTATCTGATCGTTTCTAGAAGTCAATGGCCAACCAAAACAGGGTAAGTATATAGTCCTCTCGACGCAAATTTGAACGGCCTCGAAAAAAGTCATATATAATCTGAACATCATGTCCTCTTTTATAAGACAAAAATGTACGGTATCTGCGCTAGAGACTAAGAACATTTTCATTTTTTAAAGTGTATCATTCTCAAGCTTTGTGTTTTGTTAATAATTTTATCTTGTCACACGTAGAACGGTTGAGTTTTTTCGAAGAGGCCGTACAAGTTCAGGGTCACAAAAACTATCACTGTCCTATCATTTCGATTGTATTACAATCTGAATAAATAACTAATCTTGCTTCTTAACGATCACATTCTCACGAAAACCGTTCGAGGATTTCCATCACATGATCGTATTCAAGTTCCTTGGCGTCGATTGCGAACAAGTGGTCCATATGATTAAACTTTGGCCATGGCACTCGGTAGAAATCCACAACATTCGGTAACAACTTCGCTATCCTCTGAACGTCCTAAAATTGAAAAAGAAAACCCGATTAAATTATCTTGTCTGACACATGATCCTTAAGATAAATCAGGTACTAGTAAACAAATCGAGAGTTTGCCTGCCCACCTCCATGGAGTCCAGCCAGTCGTTCTCGCCGACGGAGATGGCGACAGGGAAGTCTACCCTGCTAAGGTTGTAGGCTGGTGGCTGCGCCTGACCGTACTTGGCCAAGTTCCGCTTTGCGCCCAGGTCGAACTGCCTGAAGTCGCCGGACGTGAAACTCTGCACGTAGTGCAGCAGCGTGCGGGTCGAGCCGCCCGAGGGCACGTGGCCCATGATCACGGGGAACATCGTCTGCAAACAGAACGCAATTGGTTTTAGAGAGCGAAGGGGACGCTGCGCTGTACCCCGCGCCACAAGTGGCCGCCGAGCAGCAACAGGTGGCGCTACTCCCCGCCGGCAGCACCCTGCAGCGGGTCCTGCGCGGGGTACGGCCTGCCGCCTGGCGAGCCGCCTGGACTTCCCCCGGCGTCACTGACCGCGTTGAGCTGCTCCGCGTCGAAGCCCAGCAGCATGAAGGCGGCGTTCTTGCAGATGCGCTGCGTGACCACGGCCTCCTCCCGACACAGCTGCTTCAGGGCCTCGTTGAGCGTCAGGGTGGGCCGCAAGCTGTGCACCCCCAGCATGGCGGTGAGCGTCTGCAGCAAGCGGAGAGGTGAGACAGGCAGTTTTAGTCCGAAAACGCGCTCCCGGTGGTACTTACGCTGACGGTAGGAGCGAGGGCAGCCAGGCCCTTGAGCACGGGGCTCTGCGCGTGCTGGAGGAACACGGTGGGCGCCAGCGCCACGTGCACCGACACCAGGCGGCTGTACTCGGGCCGCAGCGCGCCCATCACCATCATCATGGTGTTGCCCATGGAGTGGCCGACGACGGGCACCTGGGCCTGGTCGGTGGCCGTCGTCACGTAGTCCAGTATGGCGGGCACGTCGTACTGCCCCATCTCGTGCCAGCTGCGAGAGACAGGACGTGAAGGCGGTGACCCTACTCTAACTCACACGCGGTGGCCTTTCGGGGCTCGTACCTGAACTGCCAGTACTTGTCGTCCGTGGACGGTATCTCCACGTGCCCCATGGAGTACCGGTTCCCACGAGGGTTGGCGATCCACACGTCCCAGCCGGCGTCCGCCAGGATGTATCCTGCAAACAAAAGGGGTTCGGTAAGCGAGGACGGGCTGCAGGCAGAATGGCGGGCGGGTCGTCTGTCTGCACTCACCGAGTCCCTTCCTCGGCCCCATGATGAACCACACCGCCGAGGAGCAGAACATGCCCGGCAAGAGCAGCACGGTGCGCCCAGCGCTGTGCCGCGCTGCACCTGGAAATGGAGAGCCAGATCGTCAGCACGTAGCTCCGTCAGGGGCAGGCCTGGCACGGCTTGAGCCACTGCACTGGCCCTGGGAGCGCCTGCCGCCTGCCGCGACGAGGGTAGGCTGCCGACGCACAGCCATGTACCAGGGGTGCCTACCCTCCAGGCGCTCCCGCTGGCATACCGACCTCGCTTCCGCTTGATGCCCGTGCTGGTGAACGACCTGCGGCGGGAGTTCCTTGTCGTCCTCAGCGGCTTCCTCAAGGAACGCACCCGGTTGCTGTTGATGTCATCACTGTCCTGCCATCAAGGGAGCATTTTGCACGAGTCAGAATGCGGGTGGGTGCCGGCGACGGTCAGTGGCAAGCGGACTTACGGAGTGGGCGCCGTGCGGCACGCGGTGCAGCGTGAGCAGGTAGCCGTCCTCCGTCATCACCACGTGGTTCTCCACCGGGTAGCCGTACTTCTTGAGGAGCTTGGGCTGCAACAGGACACGTGCCGGGCGTGAGTCAGCGGCGCGGAAGTGGGTGCTTGACTTTGGGTGCAGCACGGCGGAGCTGGAGCAGCAGCTGTCAGGGGCCATGACACGGCCGCCTGCTGCCCCTGGCCCTGGCGGGGGTCTCGGCCCCCCGACACGGCGCAGCTGCAGCGCCCGGGTCCGCCCATCCAGGCGGCTGCCGGCCCGCCCGGGCACGGCCAGGGTCAGGTGAAATGGGGCAGGGAAATGCTTTTTGTTCGTCACGTGCGCGACCCGTTTATCTGGCGGGCCGATAAATTTTCCCGCTGGTCTGCAACGCGAGGCGCACGCTGGGCCTGGGCCGGCCGGGCGCCTGCAGCTCGGGCCGGCCAGACTGGCGCCAGGGCAGCAAGGGCCTCGGCGGGGGGCGGAGCGTGGGGCAGGTTCAGTTTGAGGAAAATGGAGGAGAGCACTGGAGACGGTAGCCCCGGCCGGCAGGCTAGCAGGCGGCGGCAGGCGGCGCCTCCGAAAGCGAGAGTTCGATTTACACGAAGAGGCGTCGTCGCGCCGGTCGGCCGGCAGGCGTGTGGCCCACTTATGACCAGCCCGACCAGCTCGGACTCACCACGGACAGCGAGGCGTCCTCCAGCACCTCCCGCGGCGTGTGCGCGTACTTGTCGGCGGGGGCCGCTGCCGCCGCAGCGGGGGCGGCGGTGCTGGGGGCAGCATCGGTGGCGGCGACGGCGGCGGCGACATCATCGGCGGCGGCGAGTCCGGGGGCGGCGCTGGGCAGGGCGGGGGCCAGGATGGTGGAGGGCGAGGGCCGCGTGGCGCACGAGTACTGGCACAGCAGCAGCAGCAGCGCCGGCAGCAGCACCGGCACCCAAGACACGTCGCTCTCCATCATCTTCCTGCGCAACATCAACAAGCAAGACATCTCAGCACACACTCACACGCATTGATGAAAAATAACGCGGTCTT